CCGTTTTAGATAAAGGGCTAAACTTTGCTGTCAAACCGAGATACATACCAGTTAATTATATCATTGGCCATAACAACGTTGCACTCAAGGGCTTGAGTCACATCTCTGCAGATGTAGCAAGCTCTGAAATCGCTGCAACCCTCAAAAAAGCTAAGATGCCACCTAGCAACATTAGCAAAGATGAACGCTTTGAATTATCTCACTAAAAAAAAAAGATGTCGTCCTATCAGCCGACAAGGGCAATGCCACCATCATCATGGACAAAACAGGATATAACAATAAAAATCAAGAACTACTCAACGATCACAGCTATACAAAAATAAGAGATCCCACCAACAACCTGGTTACCAAAACGAACAAAATCATCTCCGATTCAACAGCATTAATTGATCAGACCAAACAGTTCTCATTGAAACCCTCTGCTGCCAGACCACCAAGATTATATGGCCTTCCAAAGATACACAACGAAGATACACCTCTTCGTCCCGTCGTCTCTACTATCATCAAATCCCCCACCTATAAACTGGCACGTTTTCTGGCTGATATACTGCGACCTTTCACTGGAAAAACCACCTCTGCGGTACTAAATTCTACTCACCTGGTATCGGCAATGAAAGGCATTTTCCTGTCCCCAGACGACCTGCTTGTCAGTTTTGATGTGGTGTCCTTATTCAAAGTTCTGGTACCTGACACCACCACAATCATTGAAATACGGTAGGACGAATTCTTCTGCCGTGGCAGATCACTGTTATAATTTTTGTGGGCTCACATGACATTGACTTCTCCAAGACGGAGGTTCTTTGCAAACCAACCGGCTACCATGAGAGATTCGTTCATGAGGCCATCCACATATACACAGAGACAATTTCAACCGAGAAGATGGATTCTGGCTTAGTAACCATTTGAATGATGTTTTAAACCATTTCGGTTCTTAATTGTATTTTACGGTGACCGTCAGACCACAGCTCTTTCGCTGGCATTGTCTCTTAATACCTCACACCACGGTTAAATGGTATGGTTTATAACATGGAGTATAACGGCACATTGTAGTGGTTTCTCCCTTCTCCGTTCCAAGCATGGATTGACTCCTCTGCCTGAAGGTCGCTGTTCGTGGTGCTGGCGTTGAGGTAAATGGAAAAACCGCCATTTTTCACCATGTGGCATTGTGATATATAACGCCTTATTATTGGTGGCTCAGCTGATTGGAGAGTATATAGAGTTTATTGATAACATCGAGGTAGATTATATTTTGTTTTTTATTGGTTTACTATATGGCATTCATTATATAGTGTAATGTATACCCAGTTGCTGTATGATCAATAGCTCAGCTTATTGATTAATGTTTAAAGTACATTTATTATATTGATGTAATGATAGTTTCACATCGGTTTACTTTCTGATAGTTGGAGGCCTTTAGCACCCATATACTAAATGCCTCTGATATGTAAACCGACTTTAACAGTTGTTTCTGTCACAAGCCAATCCCTCAGATATTTCAATGCTAACTTCTCCTGCTTTTATATGTAAACTCCTTTGTCAAGGCTCTCCACGCCTCCCACCGAGCTGAAAAGACGGCTACAAATCTTAACAGCGTTCATTCAAGCTCCGTCGTCCCGACAGTTCTGTTCTTTCACCTGCAGAAGGCTACGTGTTGTGGTCGAAACGTCGTGAGAATTTGGTCTTATTTTATTCTCATTCTATGTGACTTTCAAATTCGGACAAGAAAAAGTACTACATTAACTTTTCATAAAGCACCCTCGTTTTGCAAAAATGTCGTCCTACCAGGGATATCCCCATGAATCATATGCCACGCAATCTGCAGTACAAGAGACCTGTAAACACCGCAGGTTTATAGTTTGAGCAATCATGCACAATTGCTTTATATACCAATTTAGCCATTTTCAGGATTTGCGTCAGCCTTCCATGGGTAAATTTTTTTCCCATAATTACTGCATCATTAGCCGCTAGAAATGCAGAGCGGGCGACAGATGCGAGGTAGGCAGTGACACTTCAACCGTTGCCGTGCAAGCATCTTGCTAATGAAGACCCTTCCATGTAGCCCATTACACTGTTGTGGCAAGTGCCGTTAGACAGAATTGGACTTGGCCGTCTTGGTTTCCCTCGTGGCGACATTTTACACATTACACCAGGTATTCATTTAACAAGGCTTAAATCGACCTCGGGAAGCCCAAGCCCAGTTCAGAGAAGTATCATTTGGTGTTGGAGTGTGAAGCACATTGAATTATGGTTGCAGAGTTCTGAGAATTGTACGACGACTCCACCTTCGCATATAAAACAGATTTAGAATGTACAAACATTCCTAGACAATAAATAGCAGGTAAATACTGTCCTTGCAATGTTAATTTCCATTTAGTTTACTTGGTACATTACATTACTTATTTCAAGCATGTGTCCATTTTTGATTGCAACATACCTAACACCATTTAGGCAAGGTTTGCATAGTGTATGTCGCAGTTTGGCTTGTCTGGCAATTTCCAAGAACGCAACTCCCTTGATATTCAAGGGTCTTCTGTACAAGACTAAATGGCCGATTACGATGGTTGTACTCACCAGTCACTGCTGCCACATCCCTGCGCCTTCTTCCACTGGGGCACGTGGACTCGCAGCAGCTGCACACAGAGTCCGAGCCATCAGCAGAGACCCACCTGCATTGCACACAAACGGCGTCTGTAGTTGCACAGGCAATGTTCACGTGTATCCGTTCACATGAGGAGTGCTGATTGAGCAAATGTTTATGGCAAGCAACGTACAGTGGTGTACGATTTGGCCAGCACTACGCTCGACCAGACCGATGGCGACAATACCATACTCGATGGGAGCAGTGGCCAGGAATCCAACTCTGGGCGGAGTTTTGGTCAATTGTACGACGGTACCGACTTAGAGTCAGAGCCTTATAGGAAAAGTACTACAAGTATTTGTAGCATCAAGGGGCAGTCTGTGGCCAGCACCACTTCCAATGTTGTGTTACACACCAGCCCTGGTGGTCAGCTTGAGAAAAATCTACGAAGGCAGATCTCAGTTGATGCTCCTGACATTAGCCACGAGTGAGATTTGAACTCTGGCTACCAGGCTCGGATTTTTCAAAATGAGCGCAAACGAATTACGGACACCGCATGCAGGCTTCTGCACTTGTTGCTCAACTCAAGACAAGTGCAGGCTATGACCAATAACCACCTGAATACATCTAAACAAGAGCAGACTCGCGGGACTACACAGGAATTGTTGTGATACCAGTTGCAGCTAGAAACCGAAGTCAGGTCTCACGGATCTTAGTTGAGCACACATGCATGCAATATGGTGTAGCCCTCATGCAAGGCATGAATTGAGCTATTGGATGAGAGACGCTGAAAAACAAATTGCTGGGCAATGCAAGGAAGCAGACCAACCTGTATGCAGCCGAGGGGCTGTAGGTGCAAGCTTTATTGACAGCCGTTGGAGATGTTGCAACATCTGCAACCTTCAGCTGGCAAAAGACAAAAACCTGGAGCGAGAAGAGGAAGATGGGTTCTCACTCAACAACACTGCCTACTACGTGGCTAAAGGTGGTGTCTGTAGAAGCATGCATGACAGTAGATCACCTGATCGCCATTGTTGGTCAACGTCGCAAGGAAGCGGAAGGAATCTATGAAGAAGCGAAGGACGTTGTCACTTTGCCGGAGCAGGAAGCCAGAAGTAAGGTGAGCATCATACGAGACTTTGCCATCCACCAGACACCTGCACAGACACCGTAAGGCAGACCAGCAGAAAGCCAGCGCTAGGAGATGCAGTACTCCTCTTCCACTGTATAATGCTGCACCAAGGGTGCGCCACGCCCACCTCTTAAGGGGCTCCTCCCACCCGCAAACCAAAGCAGTCACCAATGACGCACATTGACCACATCTCATATCAGTAGTGAACCGACCGGCAGCACATGACAAAAAGCATTAACCATACACCTGGTTAGGCTTTACCATCAGAGCAAGTGTCAGTGGCATTCCAAGGTCAGGCTCTGTTATATACTCAAGCAGTGGAATGCCACCTTTACGACAAGGAGCATACACATTCATCAGGTGGGATTAGGAGAGAGAGAGAGAGAGAAATCTCACCCAGAGTTAGAAATTATTTGGTAGCTGAGGGGAGAATTCCTGTCCGAAACCGGGGTTGCAAAGCAGCTGACCACGAAGATCCTGAGTGGAACGTGGTTCACCGTCTGCACGCTCGCCTCGACATTCAGAGTCTGGCCTAGCTGGTATACGGTGGAAGGTCGCGCCACACTCCAGTCGTCTAAATAAAAACAAAATTAGTCATCAAAACACAATTGCCAAGGCCGAGTGCAGACTAAAAGCACTTGTTCACACCACTGCTTGTGGAAGAATCCCAGATAAATCATGGGACCTCCTTTGTCAGTACCAAAATGAGAAAAAGTTTCCCCTTTGTTCCGTAACAAAACAGGTGTTAAAATGTTAACACAAACGGAAACCTTTCACAAGGAATCATGTGTACATTAACCACAAAATGTGCTCAAATGCAAACAAAAGACTGATAATATATACATTGTCTTTGAAATTACTTGGTCCACACCAGTTTTTTTGGTTTGCATTCTGACCACAAGTATTGTGGTTAATGAAAAAGTTGTTTGGCGTTTTAACCAAACAAACCTTGTAAAATGTTTCAGTTCGGTGTTTTAACATCTTAAGACCTGTTTTAGTGCCAGAAAAAGGAGAACACCTATTCTTAAACATCAGATAAAGTTTAAGGACCGCG